CTCTTGTGTAAAGTGTACATGACTAACCACTTCAGTGAAGCACTCTGAGGTACTACAGATAATAGTGGACCACCTACAGTTTGCACTGGTCTGTTGTTGGATAAACTTGACCCAAACAGATCAATAATCAAGTGCTGTGCCTCTGTGGAGGCTGCTCTCCTGGTTTTGAGCTGCAATTAGCAGAAACATGTTTATGAAGTTTGCGAAATAGTTGCAAATCAAATGTCCAAAATTTTCCATTTTGTTTCTATCTACACGAATATGGAAAACAAAAAAGTATTCAGTCTTAGGATGAAGTAAAAAAAAAAGAAGTTTTCATTTTCTTAAGAACTCTAAAAAAAATTCTTTCTTTAAAAAGACTTGTGGGAAGTCTGAGTGCTGTCCTGGACTGTGTCACGATAACGCCAGCCCGCTGCTACAGCTGTTGAGCTCTCGTTACCTCCATAATAGCAGCATTAATAGGACATAGAGACATAGTAAAAGTTAAGTGCATGAATGTAAACACAGACAAACCACAAGGATTATGTAACAGAGAGTCATCAAGGGGATTATGTGACAGACGTGGCAGATAATCAGAGGGATCCTTTTTTTTTCTCTGTAGCTAAAAGCAGGGACACTACTGGTATTATTATACTAGTAGTATAATAACAGTTTTAGCTGCAAGGCTCTGTAGTTAAGTACACAGTTAAATGGATTGGGTTGTTTAATTAACCAAGAGCTCATTTTGTGTCTGTGTAAAACTGTGTGTGTATAAGCACAGAATTAGGGATGGGAATTAATAAGACAATAGTGGTTCCAATTCCATTATCAAAATCATTTCATGGATTCCATTCAATTCCTTATGAAATCTCATTGGGTTCCAAAACATGTTTTGGCTCTGCTTTAAGAATCACCACCATTGCTAAACAGCATATCAAAGACATCACGTTCACTCTAATTAATTGCATGCTGTGTGCATAATGTGTTACATATTTTACACAGAACACTGTGTAACACGCGCAAAGTTGTGTTAGCAGCATAATGCAGTTGTTTTTGTCCTAGTCATGAATTTATTAATTTTATTTGGAAATGCAATAAAAAAAAATTTCCGCTGTCCAAAGTTGTTCCAGAAACCCCCGCACAGGATTGAACCAGCTGAATGTGAAATGATGTCCACAAAGCAGGCTGTGATGGGAGCACAGTGAGAGCTGCACGTAGGCCTACACAGAACAGCTGTTCTGATCACACAGTATGTGGCACTGCTGGTGGATCATGCTCTGTTTTCTGTTTACTGCAGAAGTTCAGTAGCAGTGTTGCATTTTTCTCACAATTGCTTATTAATTAGTTAATAAAAAATTAAATTAAAATTGAAAGAATTAACATTTTCTCTCTCAGAATCATTTCAACAAGTATAAAAACAATAATGCACACATGCACATGCACACACACGCACAGTCTGATGTCTATTCTGTGTTGTCTGAAATGATGCATCCTCTGTATCACTTCTAATGTATTTATATATAAAAAAAACTTGCCAAGAAACAGCTGGGGTTCTTGACAGAGTAGGGCTGTGTGTCTGTGTGTGTTTGTGCATTTTTGTGTGTTTGACTGTGTGCGAGTGTGACAGAGCAGCTGATCTTTTCCTGGCTGTTTCTAATTTGCACATCACCATAATGTTTTACAATCCCACTTTCAGTAAGTCCCTCCTCTGTCTCAGCTTAATGCTGTTTTAACTCTGAGCAGACTTGAGGAGCACTGAGCCAGCCAGTCCCTTGGGTGACTGAGCAGCGTGGGGACCTGTGTGGGAATAAAAGCTACTTTCACCTGCTCCTTATTCAGAAGGGTATCGCCACTGCGGGCTGCTCTGCATGTTTGATTTGGCAGTGTTTTTGCACTGGGATGCCCTTTCTGAGCCAACCCCAAAGGGATTTGTGTCTACCTCCAGCACTGAAGTAAGGCTCTTTTGCTTGTTAGGCAAATGTGAAAACCACTATGAGAATAAACAGGGTTAGATTTCTCTCTGGAATACTGATTGATGGGTGTAGTGTACTGGCCAGTGAAATATCAATATGGAAAGCAAGGGGATCCCAGGGGGACTATTCTATTCACACATCATCACAGCTGAGAATTTCTATCTTTTTTATTGTATTGATAAGTCGTTGTATCGTACGCATCTTAATGATCTTCTAGTACCATATCACCCCATTACAGCTCTTTGCTCTCACACTGCAGGCCTACTTGTTGTTGTTGAGTATTTAAAAGTAGAATGGGAGGCAGAGCCTTCGGTTTTCAGGGCCCTCTTCTGTGGAACAGGTTTCTAGTTTGGATTCAGGAGACCGACACTATCTCTACTTTCAAGATTAGGCTTAAACCTTTCTTTTTGGTAAAGCATATGGTTAGGGCTGGATCAGGTGACCACGAGTCCTCCCTTAGTTACGCTGCAATAGGTGTAGGCTGCTGGGGAATTCCCATGATGCATTGGGTATTTCTGCTTCAGTCACCTCCCTGAGCCTGGTTAGAGGTTTCCTCCTGTTAAAAGGGAGTTTTTCCTTCCCACTGTCGCCAAAGTACGTACTCATATGGAGTTGTCTGATTGTTGGGGTTTTCTCTGTATTATTGTAGGGTCTTTACCTTACAGTGCAAAGTGCCTTGAAGCCACTGTTGTTGTGATTTCATGCTATGTAAATAAAACTGAATTGAATTGAAACTAGTTTGGCATTCTTCTAAAGTCTCAGTAACACAGGCCCAGAGACTGATTAGCAACCACCTGGTACCATAATTACCAGTTACAAGAGAAAAATAAATATTACTTGACCAAATGGCAAGTTGTTGCTGGCAGTCACCGTGGAATCAATTGCTAAAGCCTTATTCACACAGGTCTAAAGACCTGTCAAAGACCCTGGAAACTGCTGCCCACTAGTGACAATTCCACAATTGGTTGGTGAGAGGCTGGAGGTTGGACTGTCACTAGAGTGAAATTGGTTGCAAAGATTTAAACACTTTCAGTAAACCCCTCTTCTGCCTCCTTTTAACTGTGAGCAGACTTGAGGAGACGCTGCATCAGCATCTCCTGTGACTGAGCTGCAGATAGAGCTGTGAGAATGAAATGGGTCAAATCTCTGTCTAATGTACTGACTGATGTCTGTGCTGCTCCCCCCACTTTTCTTTAGTCTGTTCTGTGACTGTAATGTTCAAATAACTAAGCAGTGAATATTTCAGCTCTTCATCCAGATGCGATGCTCACAGGAGAGGCAGCTGATTATATTGCTGAGTGTATAATTGGTAATTGAAATGTTTCCAAAAGAGAAACTTATAAATGGAATTAGTCTACAACTCATTATAGGTGTGTCCCACAAACGGAATGTGAGTCTGTGGGAAACACTGCTCTGGTTCACATAAAGCGACCCTGCACACCTGTTTCTGATACTTTTGAGAATGTAAAGTGCAGACAAGTAACTTTGGAGGGAGAATGGGGTAGGCGGGGTATGATTATGTCATGTGCTACAATAAAAGTTTAAACATAGGCCTGACTGTTCTGCATGCGATTGATCACAGAAAGTTAAAAACATTCATCTGTAATATATGCAGTGATGGTTGAGATAGTCTTCTAACTACATCACTAGATGCAAATAGCAACATCGTCCCAGTTATCTGGAGCTGCTTGGGATATTGTGGATTTGTTTGCTGGTTAAAGAGAAGAGCACCGGTTGGTCTGCAGCTTCATAAGCAGCTTGATTATCATTCTGCTTGTAAGCTTTAGATCAGTTTTGTGTTCTAATTATTTTCCTGTGTATTAAAAAGCCCCTAAAACACACACAACTTGGTTTTCCCTATATCCCCGCTCTAGTGTTGGTTTGGCAAACTTAATCAGACTTCAGATGTTGCAAATAAAAGTGACCTACAGGTGACTTAGTTCCTTTAGGGTATGAAGGATGTTATTAAATTTCACTAACCTATTCCTGCATGCCATATCATTATCCTGGGGATCAGGTTCTCTCTCTGTCTCCCATTCTCAAGCTTGTTACCCACCAAAAGCCTCGCTGCCACAAGAACCTATTGATTTGAATTGTTAGCAATGGTAACAACTTATCTCAGGTTATCTTGGTGCCAGTACAGCGTTTCTTCCTCATGCCGTGATATATTTGTACATTTGCATCACAGGTTTTAGACGTGTAACTTCAAGTCAAACATAAGCCACTTAAACTATCTAAAGCTACCCGAGCATTAGTAAACCCACTGTTTTGCAAAGCAAATCTGTAGAACCTGAGGGATATGCTTCTATTTGAATTTTCTCTCATCTGCTATTCCACAGCCTTGACATGAAATCCCAGTGGCCTGCAGTTTTGCTGCAAACAACCTTATGGGATTCTGCTTTGATGAGGTGCAACATTGCACCCACTAACAGATTTATAAGTGCTGTCAGAATTTATGATGGACTGCAAAGCAAAAGAAGTTTGGCTTACAAAACACACGCGGCAGTAGGAACAGGAGATTTTAAGCCTGTACTGTGCTTACAAGACTTTTACCACTTCCTTTGATTGATACGGCTTTGTTGGGTTGATTACGGCTGCTTATTTTTTCAGCTGTGCGTTCCCTTGAATACTATGCCAAAAAGCTACATCACAGGAGCCTGTAATTCCAAGCTGACCTAACATGGAGAGCGAGGGCATGTTATATTGCTGTTTATTGGGAGAACATACTGTACAGTGCTTTGCTGTAGTTAATCCTCGGTATTAAAACTGATTCGGCCAAGTTCTTGTTACAAAGTTTCTTTTGGTCACAGAATAAATTTGTTGTATTTAATGATTCAGTAAATTTTCTAACTCAGCTGATGTGCCGAACTGGAAAAACAGAAACTTAATGAACATTTAGCGAAGGTCAACTCACTCTTATCCACTTAGATTATTCAGTGTCATTCCAGTGTCATCTTATATATAAGAAGGGCCTTTTTTATGAGGACTTTTTATTACATTTTAATGATTATCTAATGTTAATGTTTAATTATTTGCTTTCCATTGCAGGTCTGCAGTTTGTAAATCATCGTCCAGCTCTGAAATGGCTGACAGGAAGCTGGATGGCTTTGGACAGATTTGGATGGTAGCGCTCATACTGCTGTGTAATCCAGCAGCGGTAGGTCAGCCAAAATGCACACAAGACACAGTTTAGTTCTTACTGATCTAAATTTCATAAATACAGCAACCGCCTTTAATTCTACCTCAGAGAGTTATGTACTGCTAGGCCGTTCATGTTTGATGTTATCCTTTAAAGGACAAAAAATGCAGCTTCAGGTTGGAGTTTGGACACATCTGTGCACCAATACTTCGGCATAGATGTCATAGTTTCCATGCAGCGCAACTGACTTTAATGAATCACTAAGTATGACTCCCTTTTCCTGCATTTGGTAGTATGTGTTGACTGTTTTAGACTAATGCATCACCAGAGGGTTCGCAAGTACATAACCAAAGATGGCTCGGAGACATCTTTACTCATTTTAAACATAACCAACAGTACTTTTTGTACCCTCTCACTGAGCGAGAATTTATACACTCGTTTCTTTTACTTGGTTTCTGTTGCACTGTACCATAACATATCTCTCATTCTACTTTGTAAAGCTTAAAAAAATGAGTGGATTTCTACTTTTTCTCGCCTGTCTTGTAGTTTATGGTGAAGGGAAGTCTGGCGATCAATGAAACCCAGCAGCAGGCTTCAACCAGTGTCTACGATGACATTACGGTCACCAGGAACAAGATAGTTACAGCCCAGTTTGAGTGCTATCAAAAGTTAATGAAAGAAAATACCCACAGCAGACAAGGTAAAGCTGTCTTGATTGAAATTGGTTAAGAGAATCCCACTTTCAAAATTCTATAAATCTATTCTTCAATTCTTAGTTTGCAATGTTCCAAATGTGAAGAGCGAAAAAGCTCTTAAAATGATGTCTGTGTTTTTAGAACCTGTGTGCAATCGCACGTGGGACGGCTGGCTTTGCTGGGATGACACCAAAGCAGGAGTTACATCCGAGCAGCACTGCCCGGACTACTTCCAGGATTTTGATCCATCCGGTGAGATCTGCAGCTTCTAGCAGCCAATTTTCTTCATCCACCTGCAGATTTACAGATGACAAATTACTCTGATGATTATTCCTTGTTGTGGCTTTCAGGTCCTCATTCATAACTTTGAAGGCTTTTAGTAAAAAAAACAAAAGCCCAAACCGAGTAACACTTATTATATCACCAAGGTTAAAGCTCTCCAGAACCACAAAAGGTATTATGTAACAGATTTCGCAGGCTGAGGGGAGCTCTTCATGATTAATGACTGTTCTTCATGTATAAATTTGCTTCAGAATTTAGCTTGAATCTTTCTAAGTGAAAAAAGCAAAGACTATACCTCACACTCTGCTCACACACTGAATGTAAATACCAATTACAGCAAATGGCCATGAAGCAGAAAAGCTCTGTTCTCAGTATTAACACAGGAAGCAGCATTTGTAATTTTTGTGTATTAAATGTGTATTAAATCACTGACTTCAGCTCCTTCTGTTAATGAGGCAGGGTTTTTGTGTGTGTGATTATTAACTTATGCGTGTATGGAGTGGTGTAAATACTTCACTGTTTATTACAGTAAATTTGATTTAAGCTTCTGGGGACTTCTTAACCACATTCAGTCAACCGCAACCGTCAACAGGATGTGCAGGTTTATAATTAGATTTCATTCTTCTAATTGATGTTTTCATTAGCTCCATCCATATTGATGTTTTTCTTTTTCATCTGCCTCTACCGTCTACTGGAAAAATCAGAATAATACATTTAAATTATTTACCACTTTTTGTTCTGCAGAGATGGTCACAAAGATTTGCACTGACAGTGGTCAATGGTTTCTGCATCCGGAGAGCAACAGGACATGGACCAACTACACCCGCTGCAATGAGCACACTGTAGAAGGCAGAATGGTAGGTTGAAAATGGCAGTAGGTAGGACTGAGTTTATATGTTAGATAATCAACAATAGGAAAAGTATGGCTTTGATGGCCGTGTGATGTGGTTGTGAGGGGCTCTGCACACTCTGAACACCACAGCATGTCTGCTTGGTGACCAAATACAGGCTGGAATTTGTTCTGCTTTTTTAAACCTTTGTGTATATTTTTTAAATTATTTCTGTAAACGTACTAAATGTAACAGCAGTAACAGCAGACAGATCAATTAAAGACCAGGATGCATCTCTCAGGTTCTGTGTCAGGACTTATGTTCCCTCAGATTTCTTAAGGACACACTGCACACATTGCTGAGCTATGCCAAGTTTTCCTCTTTTAGTTTTCTTTGGGTATTTCTGTGTTCATGCAAAAGCACTTTCTTTGCATAAGCAATACTGTTTTTGTTTTTTTGTTTTTAAAATTGTGTTTGACAGCCAACGTAAAGGTTCAAAATAAATCGTGAGTAAATCCAAGCTAAAGAGATGGGAATAATGTTTTTTTTTTGTTGTTTTTTTAGCCAACACGCTGTTAGTAACAAATAAACTAAAGATAACATCTAATTTCTTTGCTAAAAACAACAATAATAACATTTGTCTAAAAATGGTCAGGTACAAGGACTGAAAATTGAGTGAAAAAATAGTGAAAAAAGCAGCTAGTCCAAGCAGTCCAAAGAAAAACTTTAAAACTCCTTCATGAAAGCCTTCAGAAGTATTTCTTAAAGTCTTTAAAAAATACATCAATATTGTATTTTTCTCCTTGGACACAAGGAGAAACTATATTATAATTTCCTGTAACTGGTTCATAAAAAACCCCATTAGCTTAAAATTATAAATATTAAAAGACAAATGGAACATTTTCAAGAGCCTTTCAGTGCAAATGCTGAGATGTATGTTGATGTTTAGTCAAGTAGCCATTTGGAGAAAGATAATCAGATTACAGCCTGATAACCTAATTTCCATCTCTTGTTTCTTTTCAGACTGCAATGAACCTTTTCTACCTTGCCCTCATAGGACATGGGCTGTCTCTGACTTCCCTCCTCATCTCCCTAGCAATTTTTTTCCATTTCAAGTGAGTCAACTTCTGTTATATGAGCGACTTCCATAGACGGATGCTTCTCGGTCTGTGCATAACATAAAAGCGTTGTGGCATAACTTCAGTTTTGTGTTTTTCCAGGAGTTTGAGCTGTCAGAGGATCACCCTTCATAAAAACCTCTTCTTCTCTTTTGTTCTGAACTCTGTGATCACCATCATTTTGCTGAGTGCAGTGGCCAACAACCAGGAGGTCATGCAGAGGAATCCAGTCAGTTTCTTATCATTTGTATCGATTCACTTGACTGTAGCCTCACAAATGTCTCTATTAGTTTAATGTGCACCATTACACTGGTCATTCTAGTTTAATATTAAACTTAAATCAATTGCTATAAAACAGCAGCTGGTATCCACATTTATTATGTGTTTTCTTTCCTCAGACGAGCTGTAAAGTGTCCCAGTTTATTCACCTGTACCTGTTTGGCTGTAATTACTTCTGGATGCTGTGTGAGGGGATATATTTGCACACTCTCATCGTGGTGGCCGTGTTTGCTGAGAAGCAGCATCTGATGTGGTACTATCTCCTAGGATGGGGTAAGAGGAGGATATCAGTCAGCTAATCACTACATTTTTCTAACTGAAGGGTCTTTCTTTACCTAACTTGCTCACTTTGTTTTGCAGGCTTTCCTCTTATCCCAGCCACCATACATGCCGTCGCTCGGAGCTACTACTACAACGACAAGTGAGTTAACGCCAATGCTTGTGCAAGCAGTTCTCCTGTATAATATTTTTTTTAAGGAAACCCACAGATTGCTGTGATAGATTTGCTGTTATGTGATGCAACGTTACTGTTGTGTAAACCTTTTTCGTACTGCTCTCCTCTGCAGCTGCTGGATTAGCTCAAAAACATCACTGCTCTACATCATCCACGGCCCCATCTGTGCTGCTCTTTTGGTAAGAATGCTACTTCTTTTCTTTCCTAACCCCAATCACTTTCAACAAGTAATTCACTATATATCTATTTGCTAGAATAAACCAGCTGATTTGTTTCATGTTTCTCTTGCCACACTGTTTGTTGCGCAAAGAGTACAATAAGCTGCTTTTGTCCTCCTCTGAGTGGACTCTGTGGGGGGTCCTGTGAACAGGACAGTCTCAGAACATGCATAAATGTGTTTGTCTTGTGAAATCAATGCATCTTCCCCTTTGAGAATCCCCCCACTGGTCCCCAAGCTTATGTTGTTTTCTAGGAATTCACCTAATCAGCACATTGGAGCATGCTTCAGAGAACGCTGGTCCCTTAGGACAGTCTGTACTAAATGTTCAGCCTCCAACATCCTTTAAAATGTTATGTGTAGGTTTCCTAACCTTACCGTGTATGAGAAGTAGACTCAGTGTCTTATAATACTGCAGTAACGGAAACTTATTAGAAAAAGCAAACATTCCTCTTTGATTTTTTGTTAACACTTGTCTTGTTAGGATTGACGTGTTTAAAGAAATGATGCATAAAAGAAGCTTTGTAGTCTCTTAATAATTCAAATACAGTACTGTGCAAAAGTTTTGATTTCTTTATATTTTGCTTCCAATGAGCTAGAAGTACTTGTAATATTTTAGAAGTGGTCTTAAGCAATAGTTCTCCGGGCTGAATGTCTTTCAACATTTTCAGTCCAGTCCTTGTACCAGACTATTTTCAGAGGAATCAGCATGATGTGCATTGTGCCCTTAAAAAAATCTGAGGAAACTCCTCAAGAGGAGGACAAAAAAGAATAACCTGCAGCAAGTAAACGGTGTCTAACAAGCGTGTCACCAAGAAAGTGCCATACTGCTCTTTATGCTCTTATACTTGAGGCATTGCTTGTTTTCACATCCTATCAAAACACTAGACTGTAATGCTGATTTATATATGACTTCCCCCTTTAGGTTAATTTGTTCTTTCTACTCAACATCGTGCGAGTTCTCATCACCAAACTGAAGGTGACCCATCAAGCAGAATCAAGTCTGTACATGAAAGCTGTGAGAGCCACGCTCATCCTGGTCCCTCTGCTTGGAATTCAGTACGTCCTGCTTCCCTACAAGCCAGAGGGACGGGTCTCTTCGGAAATATATGACTACATCATGCACATACTGATGCATTACCAGGTGAGACACTGGTTATTAATCAGTGTGAAGGTTTGAGGGGATTCTCGTCATTTCTACACATTCATATAGAGCAGAGGAAGCCGACTGCCTGTGGCATCTACGGCAGTCTTTAACCGTTCTGTTTGTCTTTAACCTTCTGTCATACATATTTATTTTATTATGAAAATTGATTGCTTTGTCTCGTTCAGTGCTTGAGACATGTATTTTAATAAAATCATTAGTTAAATGGACATTAACCTCATTGTTTTCTAGCTTTTAACAAGAGTCAAACATTTTTATTAGCCAGAGAAAAGACTTTGTTTGTCTAGCCCAGGCAAGAACAGCAGGAAGTAAGGCACAAATTATCTGAGCTGAAAGAGACTGAAATCCGTTGGATGTTGATGAAGCGTTATCTGATCATCTTGAGCTGTCCCAGTGTGCGCAGTGCAGGGAAATGTCTTGAGTAACAGCCTGAATCAGCTTTCAAAATGTATTCACTTTGACCTCTTAAGCTTCCCTGCTTCACAGCACTTTAGACCCTAAGATGTTGTCTACAAACGACTTTCCTGAGACCAATTAGCAAGCTGTATGTCATCTCTCTTTTAATGTGTTTCTTTTTTTCATTCCAGGGTCTGCTTGTGGCCACCATCTTCTGCTTTTTCAATGGAGAAGTAAGACGGGGCTATGCCCTTTTATTATTCTTGTTTTTTAGATATTTTAACACATGTACACACCCTATCCCACACTCGTGCTGACCTCATGGTTGAGAAGGGTCATGCGTTGACAGGGTCATTCCCCCGGTGCTACTCTTCCAATGTTGGGGAAACTAATATGTAGTCATAACATTTCAGGCTACCAGCTTGATTACACTGAATGAAATTACAGCAAAGATACCCTAGAGAATAATCTAGCATGTTAAATTAAAAACTCTTGGAATGGGCTGTCCAAAGTACACCTTTGTTCAAAGGTCTTACTTTTTTGTCAGACCAAAAAAAAGAGAAAATGCTGGTGCTGCAAACGTTTAGGAATGTTACCTTTCATTTTCTACAACCCAAGAAACTTCAGTCCAGGTCAGCGAATTACTCAAGTAGCTTACATCATCTTTGAGCATTTAGTAATAAATGGTAAAAATAAATCAAAACCTATGATTCTGGATGCTTGCAAATGCATTGTTTCTACTTGCTTTCCCTGTGGTTACAACTGAAGAAAAAGAGAGCTTACGGTAGATTAAAGGAAGGTCAATTACAGCAGAGAAGCAATTTCTCAATAAAGATTTTAAAATAAAATCACCTGAATCTATGCCCCAAGCTGGCTTGTGCTTTCAGCTGTTGAGTAAAGACACAAGTATTGCTCTCCAAAGACTGAAAATTATGCTGCTAGCAAGCAGCCATGAGCTACATGCTGATTACTGTCAATTTTGCAGGTAATTGGTCTGCACAGTACTTGACTTGAAGAGAATGGTTTACAAGATCCACTAAGTAACTTCCCTTTGATATTTATCTTATGATTTTACTGCCATAGTGTGTCCTAGCCCTGTGCTCATTATACGCTCAAAGAAAAAGTGTCATTGTTATTTCTGTACTCAGAAACACTGACTCAGTAAGGCACAATAGAACAATGCTTTAATCAAAACACGTTTTTCTCAAAGAGAGCTTCAGAGAGAATTTACAGTGAAAGATAAACAATGCTATGTGAAGAAATGGGTCATGCATGTTCCAGGTTTTGCTTTCAGGAGTGCCTCAACTCTTCATGAAATAGATACACCAGTGTGCTGGAACCATCACACAGCTGCTGCAGACTTGTTGCTGTGCATCCATGATGTGACATCACCGAGAGGTGCTCTGTTAGACATAGATTTGGTGAATGTGGAGGCCATTTCAGTACAGTGAGCTCATGTTTACTTTGCTAGAAGCAGGTATTAGGAGACGGGCACACTGTGGCAATAGAGGGATGGGCACGGTCAGCAACAACAGTCTGGCTGTGAAATTAGCACCGAGGGGCCCATATTGTGACAAGAAAGTATATCTCACTCCATATCTCAGACCACCACCAGCAGCCTGAATTGTTTGCATGCTTTCATGTTGTTTACACCAATTTCTGACCTTACCATCCAAATGCTGCAGCAGAAATTGATGCTATTCAATCTTTTTCAGTCTTCCATTGTCTGATTTTTGTGAGCCTGTGTGAAACATAGTCAGTTTCCTGTTCTTAGCTACCAAAACTGATCATCTGCTGCTGCACTCCGTCTGCCTCAAGTTTTGGAGTATTTGCGTTTAGAGATACTCTACTGCATCCCTTAGCTGTAATGAATGAATTTGAGTGACGGTTGCCATCAGCTGAAAGCAGTCTGGTTATTGTCCTCTGACATCTGAAGTCAACAAGGCCTTTTCTCCAAGAGAACACCTGCTCAGTCAATATTTTCTATTTTCGGACCATTCTCTGTAAACTCTACGGATGATTGTGTAGGTTGCAGCCCGTCTGGCACCAACAACCATGACCCTTCAGCAGATTGTCAGTCTGAATGCCTACATGCTGTTGCTGCCATATGTTTGACTAATAAGGCATCTTTACAAAATAGCAGTTGAATTGATGTCCCTAATAAAGTGTCTCTGTGTCACAAGAATCTAATGAAGAACTAGAAAACAGAAGCACCCCTCCCCTGGTTCTCTGTGTGTATATATGTGCCCTACTAACCTACAAGCTGTTTGTTCTCCTTTTCGTACCCTCTCTTCCTCCCTCTTTTTCAATTCTTTCACCTCTCATTAGTGCATTGAGATCTGCCTGGCCCAAGTCCCCAAGGCCTTGGCCAAACCCCAACCTCAGTACATGCTTACTGCATCTGCCATTGTCTACTAGAAACGTTGTCTAAATAGTCTCAAGTAGTGAATTACCATCCAAAAAATGAAGACATCAATATTATGCTGTGGTTAGCATAACAGCACACTATTTTAGAGTTTAGGTAGACTCTCAAATTGCCCTCGAATTTATTACAGTTGTGCAAAAAATTTCCATGATGCCCTGCCGTTGTTCGTCGAGTATAAACTAAAGCATCTAAAGTCCTTGTGTTACTTGGTGCTTCTAGCTTTAAGCTAGGCTAGCCATGTCTCTGCTGTTTCTTGGTTGCTTACCAACAATCCTCCTGAGACTCTATCACGTCCCAATGGATGAAGTCATTTTAAGATCACATTTAAAATTGTGGGAAATAAACAGATGTGCTTTCTCTCATAGATTAAGGTGATAAGAGGCATATCCCACTGCGCAAAGTGACGTCTTTTAGAAGTCATTTTTGGACGTATAATTTTGGTCCGCTGAAGGGGTTGTTTGGTAACAACAAGCGATGTCTTTTGTCTACATCCATTATACTTGTGTTGATGTCCGTATGACTTCCATGTATGGAATATTTATAGTACAAACAAATAAGTTAATTAAAATTAAAAAAATTAAAATGATTAATTAATTAAAATAAATAAAACAGTTAAAGCAAAACTGGAACATTTAAAAATAACAAGCAAAACAAAAAAAAAGATAACAAACAATAAATCGTGTAATCAAGTAATCCATATATTTATATGTATCATGTTGATAACAACAATTTTGATATTTGTAAATAAAAAAAATATTAAATTTATTAATCATGTAAATTTCCTGCACCTATCATAGACATCCACATGACCTCCAAAAATATTACCCAGCCTAAAGTTCAAATGTTGAACATCATAATAACTTCCAGGTTGGGTCATGGTTAGACGCCAAAACTGTGGACCTTGTTTGGACATCGCATAGATGTCCAGAATCGGTCATGGACCAATGGACCCAATATAGACATTATCTGAACGTCTATCTGACGTCCATTGTTTAGTGGTGTTATCATGTCTGTGAGTCATTTTAAAGGTTTCATATCAGCACAGATAAAAGAAGAAATGCAGTCCTTTGCAGGGGAATATTTTCCTATTTTCTTTCCCCGAGTATCAGAAAATGTGAAAATGCTTATCAATTTTTATTTCTACTACTGCTTCAACTTTTCAAGTTTCGGATAATATACAATCATCATCTTCATTTAAGAAATTCATCAATGAATTTCTTATACCGCTTTATCAATTAATTGTCTTTGAGTCAACTATTTCACTGACTATGTGATAATCAGTTGTTTCATGCTTACACAATTGGCGCTAGAAAGCTTTTAGCCTATATAAACATTAAGACAAAAACTTCACCTTAACTTTGGCTCTGTCTAAAGCACAGCTGTCGAACTCCAGTCCTCCAGTCCGGTGTCCTGACATCTTTACATGTGTCCATGCTGCAACACACCTGAATAAAATTTAGTAGTTCCTTACCTCTATAGAACTTGACTGTAGGCTGATGTGGCAGTTCAGCCATCTGATTTGTGTTACAGCAGCTTAAGAGTGAATGAACACTGTGCAATAAAAGTAGTTTTAGAATTTTTTTTTTTAAACTTACACTTTTATTAAAATATACTTGAGTAGGGTTGGGGGGGTTGCCACCTTGGCATACAGTCAAGTCTTGCTAATGACCTACAAATTTTATTCAGGTGTTGCAGCAGGGACACTGCTGTAAAAGTTTCAGGATACCGGCCCTTGAAGGTTAAAATAATTCTGTTAACTGTTGTTTTCCAATGTTGTCCTAAGATTTTACAAAAGTGTAATTGTCAGAAAGTCACCCTAGACTTTTCACAGATGTGCATGGAGAAGCGGGTGCCAAAAAATAAACCAAAAACCGAAGCAAAAAACAAACAAACAAAACATCTAAATATTTATTTGTGTATTTTGTTCTGCCATCTTATGCAAAATTACTTTGGGCTTATCACTTGAACTCTCAGGCTTTATATCACCTTTGTAAGCTTTCCTGTCAGCTAAATCTGATATATGATCCCTCTGGTCAGGTCCAAGCTGTTCTGAGGCGGCACTGGAACCAGTATCATATCCAGTTTGGCAGCAGCATAGGAAACCACTCGGATGCCCTGCGCTCAGCTTCCTACACAGCTTCCTCCATCACTGAGGTACAGGGCTGCTACAGCATCGACGGTCACTCGGAACACATGAACGGCAAAGGCTGCCACGACTCAGATGCCTCCATACTCAAGTCAGACAGCCCCTTCGCCTGACACAAACGGTGCTCTCAGACTCTGTCCATCCCACCATCACCCTTAAAATCTGCCACATGCTTGGAGCTCGCCATCCGGGAAAACTGGCCACTTCCCATAGATACGTAGAGGAAAACGAGTGAGGGAAGGAAATTATGACTTCTTATCCACACCAACACAGGTCCTTTAACTGTACTGTACGGTGAGCTTGATACAGCTACTCCTGCGCTGTGCTTTGTCTACAATTTGCATCTGAACTGCTTTACTTGGACTACGATGCTTTCATATCTTTCAGCCTGACTAAATCATTTTTAAATCAATAATTACTGACTGCTTGATTATCCTCGCGGGTTCATGTTGTGCACAAAAGGCCTTTGGTTACACTGTAAATTCTTTTGACACAGTTAGTGCCAAACCAAGAAATCTTGCCTGCCTCATTTATTTTTTCATTATCAATAATGAATCAGATAGGACGTCTAACATGTGCATATTGAAGTATTAAACATATCTGTATCTTTCACATGTTAAACTTAATTTATCAACATATTCTTGTTTATTAAATGCAAATGGATTAAATAACATACAGTATTTATGAAAGGTTTATATGTTACATGTTTGTTTTTTTATTTTCAAAATTAAATACTGCTATAACTTGCCAGCAGCACAGAAACTTTTCTTTGTTTCAGTGTTTGTTCCTGTGTGTGCAGTTCATGCAGGCTTGATTTTGGTTCGCACCACTAGCTCACGCTCTTCATTTCTAGTCATGCTGATGTTTGCACCTGCTCAAGTGATCCTTACTAACGTGTGCATCAGTTAGGCCACATGGTTGCAATGTTTACAGAATATTAGCAAAGAGAAGCCACATTTGAATGTTGACAGCCAATGGTGTGTTTCATTTGAACTTGGAATTTTCCCAACCAAAAGTTAGTTTTTTGTTTTTTAACTGGAACACCCCCCTCAAATCTGACTTCCAATTCGGAAGGTTAGAGAATTCCCACCAATAACGATTTTACAATCCAGTATAGCAGTGCATGTAATCTGTAAAGCCTATATTGCTGAATAAGCCATATTCAGAGCATTGACCACGTTTTGTGTGTGAACATGCAGCAGTGGTGTTTTCCAGCTTATAAAATAAGCAAAGCGCTATATTGCTAGTCATGCATGAATGGCTCTACCTTGCGAAGGAGCAGAACGCCGCTAGGATGCACTCGGCTCGGGAGTGACATCACACCCTACTCTGATGTGCAACTTCTAAGGCAAATGAAATGCAGCATTTGTTTAAAGACTTGGCTCCTTTAAGCACGCATTACATTTACTTATACTGCTGTCTTTATCCTTACCCCTCTTAAAGCATTTAAAAATAATTAAGATGTCAACAGTACTCGGTTTTCAGACAGAATACAGGAAGTTAATTGGATGACGTGCTGCTTTTTCCAGTACCGTAGCAGGAAGAAAATTAAATCAAATTGAAGAAGACCAGAATTATTAATGTTCGCATGAAAGAGGACAAAGATTTAATTCCTCTTGTGTAATGAACAAAGCCATGTTTCTGTTTCTTTATAGTACAACCGTCACTTCCATCTTCTTTGAAGCCAGTACACATTATTCTTTTCTACCTAAACTGAATCTGTATCTTAATGTTAGCAAGCGTACTATCTGTACTAAAAAGCTTACGGATTTGTAAGAAACTTCAGGCCGTTAAATCCCGATATAGGTGGGATTACTTTTGCATTTTGTCCCCGTCTTTTTACAGGATAGTCATGCTACCAAACAATATCTTATGGCCAGTATGAATGTTTGAGTTCAGTGATCATATAATCAGTTTGCACATAAAAAATGGAAAGTGCAATAGAACCAGGCAAAATCGTGATGCAAATGAAGCAAGCAACATTAATGTCCACTAACGTGTCCTGCTTCACTGAAGAAATTAAAAATGGCAAAAGAGAAAAAGCATTAGATCTGTGTGAAGTGTCAAGGAATGACGTTCGTTATTTTCATGCATGAGCAAATTATAAAAATCTCCAAAACTTCCACTGCCTGTTTGTTTTAGGTCTGACTGGTGCTTTCTCAGTTACTTTGATATGAATCCTAGCTGGGGCAAAACCCTTCTTACCTCAGTGAACCAAATCTTTATAGTGATTAGTGGATAAAAATGCATGCATTAATTTAGCCTACTCTTATTCCCAGGGTTGAAATACTGATGTTTTGTCAAAGCCACTGGAGTCTCCAATACTTACAAGGTTGTGGTACTACAACTCACCTAGTTTAAGGGGTCTCTTGTCCCCAAATTATCACATATTGACACTTGTAGAGGAGCTCTTGGTGTTGTATTTAACCACACTGGTTTAGAGCAATTTTTATACATGCAGGGTTATGAATTTACAAACCATGGTCCCTTCCCATGCCTGGTAGTTTTACTATTTACTACTATTATTTCTGATATTTCTGTATAGGACGCCAGTGACATTTGATAGAATGTCGATATTTTGTGACCAGGGATGAAAACACACAATTTACTCTTCTTTTTGTGATTTATTTAAAGGCTAAAAGTATTTTATTCCCCGAGAGTGAGGTATAAAGAAGACATTAAGGGTTAAGGTATATGATTTTCTTTTTTGGAAAGAGCCCTCTGCTTTAGCACAGTGCTAATGCTAGTCTGCACACAGCCTTATTAAGAAGTACACATGATAAATTTGTCACATTTTACACCACAAAACACTAAAAATTGTAAAAATGTGTACTGATAAAACAGTTTGAAAGCATTTACTTCATTTTTAAATGTGTGTTCTTAGTGCTCATTCACATCACAGAACCTTCTTTGAACTTTTGTTTCTTTTTTTTATTTGTCTTTTTTTTT